GGGCCTGCCCGCTCCTGCTTTCAGCGGGACATCCCCTGCCCTGTCCCAGCATCTCCAGCAGCACCAGACACAGCATCGTATTGTCCTGCCCGGTCCTGGGTGCTCCCAGTCCGTCCCGCTGTCCTTGCAGGCTGAGCTGTGAGGGTTTGTGTGGCCCTGGAGAGCTCCAGGTAGAGTGGTTGGGGGGTTACATCTCCCTGTTGCCCCTGACTTGCTGCATGGCCATGGGGAGATGTTTCCCCCCAGCCTGGGAGCCTGCTCTCTTGCTTCAGCTGGCTCCCTGCAGGATCAAGAATAGGCTGGGCTGGGGAGGTTGGGCAGGATGCAGCTCATAACCATTCTGTGGAGGGTTGGATGGAAGATACTGGTTTGGTCCTGGTTAGGAGATGTTGGGGTTGGTGCTGAGTCAGTTCTTGGTGGGGGGAAATGGGTCCTCCTCAAGGATGGACACCTCGTGAAATAGGTTCTTGAGGGGAGGACATTGCTGGTTGCTGAGGCAGGTGGCCTTAGGTGACACCAGAGCTAGCGGTGGCCCCATGGCACCCTGGGACACGGCCCATGGGGTCTGAGTGGAGTGGCTCATCCCTGTGCAGGGAGCAAGGCCATCCACGGGGACCCTCGTAAGTAATGTCCTTATTTGCTCTTTGTAGCCCAGCAAGATCCTGTCAAGAAGGGGAACCTTTACATCATGCCTCGAAGACAAGGTACCGGGAGGGGGACACACGGCTGGGGGTTTTGAGGCCCCCTTCTCAGGGGGGTCACAGCCACCTCTCAGCGAGGAGATCCCCAGGCAGGGCCCACATGGTTTGAGCATCTCTTGGCTCTCTGGGGACTTGATAGAGATGGACATGGGGAGGGGTTTCCTTGATTGAGATGCCCTGAGCTTAGGGATCCTGTGACACCTCTCCCCCCCACCACCACATCCTGCTGGGAGAATGTGTCTGGCTGGCATGAAGCCCTGTCTTGAAAGTGGGGGTGGCAGAAGTGGGTGCTGGGGGTGTGGCAGGGGTCACCGGTGTGTGCTATGGACTGGGGATGCTGGCTGTTGAGTCCTCGACACCTCTTCTGGCTTCCTCCTGGCTGGCAATGAGAAGCTGCTTTCTGACAGTCTGTTATGGGCTGTTTGGGATCTTCTGCCTCTTTATCTGGTCTCATAAATCTTTGCCGAAAGAGTCTTGCCATTATCCATCTCTGGGTGTTTTATGGCTCCAGCTCTGTTTTTCATCTTCATGTCACCTTATCTTTAGCTTTGTTCTTCTTTATTATCTTCGGTTGGTTCATCTTCCCGCTGTCTGGCCGCTTGATGAAAGCAGGCACACGTCTCTGCTGGTTTAAGCTAATTCCTTTAACCCTTCCTTCACTGGTCCTATGCATCCGTGTACAGACATTCCTGATCACACGGGTGTTATTGTTTCTTACAAATCCAACTGGCAGCTGATTTGGAGGATTCAGCCCTTCCTCCTTGAGCTGCCAGTGGGGATGTCACTGGGCAGCTCCTTGCCTTGGCCCGGGGCACCGTCCCTTTCCTGAGCCGTGAGGGATCCTGCCTGCTCAGTAGCAGAGTAGGGATGGGCTTATAATTCCCACTGCCCTGCCTCGATCCCAGCAGCATGAGAGAGATGCTGTTGAAGTTTTCTTTGGGCATTTCCTCCTGGACCAAGTGTGTCCTTTAGTTTGTTTGGAAAAGAGGAGGAAGAAAGAAGGTATATATATAATTTTTTTTTCATCTTTGTTTAGCTACCAGATATAAAGCCTTCTGTGGGGTTTTCTCTGGCTTGGGAGGAACAGAGCTCCTCCGTGCCTGGACAGGAGCACAAGGGGGATAGCTTAGCACCGTGCCAACTTCTTCACCAAGTTTGGGCAGCGTGAGGGCTTATGGCAGCCCTGCCAACTTACAGGTTCGGGATGTGGTAACAGACACCAGACCAGCAGCTTTAGGGATAAACAATTTATCTCTAAATAACGGTACAGTAATAAATACAGATCAGTAGTGCAATTATCCAGGTCAGAATGACAGCAAATCCCATAATTCACTAATACAGGGCTAGACTTAATATCTGGGAGTGCAAAGACTTACACGACCTTGGCTATCAGGCAGGCGGGAAGCGGAGCACAGCTTCTTTGGACAAGCGACATGGACTAGCCGAACAGGCCTGGGGAATCCCAGATTCCCTGATGGGACCGTTATTTTTAATCGTTGCATTGGGGAAGCACTGTTTGGGTTTGTTAACCCATCATCACATCCCGCTTCTGCTCCCTTTTTATGCTGGTTCTGTCTTTGGTGTGCACGTGGCCTGGAAGTGATGTGTGAGGCAGTGCAAGGCTAGCATTGCACCCCTGTTTGGTGAGGGGAAGGGTGGTCATCTCGTGGTGGTGGTGTGAGGCCATCGATGCCTCCCACCTTCATCCTTGGGGGCGTCTGGCGTGGAGGGAAGTTTGGTCACGGAGAGATGAATCCTGTCAATACAGTGGTGCGTGGAGAAACCATCAGAACAGTGCGGGCCGAAAGCCAAGCATGAATATGTAAAGAGGTGATTAAAAGAAGTAAGAAACTGCTCAAAATAAGGATAACAACTGAGGAATGAAGTAAGATGTTGAATATTCCCATGGGGGGGGGGAGACCACCCTAAAAGGGATTCCCACCAGGCCTCTGACTATTTTTTTGAGCATGTTCTGGGATTTGTGTGATCTGCATGCTGCAAAAACTCATCCCTTTGAGATTAGGGGCGGGGGGTCTAGTTAGTTGACGGTAGTTGACAAGCAGTAATTGGGGCGGTTTAGTTAAAATCACATCCAGGTAGGGCAGTAAAGTTACAGATACACAGCTGAACTAGCAGAGATGAAGTACGGTTATACGTACTGTCAATACCTACTAAAGAATGCGAAAATTGTGAAGGCACACAGCCATTCCCGCCGCACACGAGCCTTGTCTCGGCGTGTTTATCGGGTGCATTAGGCTCCCCAGGGGGATTAAAACACATATTGGAGGCTCTAAGGGGATTTCCTTCAACCACAAACCCCGGTTCTGGCCCAGGGACGCAAGCTTCAGTGTCTCCTGATCACCAGCCTTTCATTCCCTGCTGACGCTCCCTTGGGTCACCCTGACAGTGTTTGGTAACAACGTCACCGTGATTTGGATGTTCCCATCTGCGCCTGTGCTGAGCCTCACTTGCTCGTGCAGGTGTAGCCAACGTTTCGGGCTGGCAGAGATTTGATTTTTTGCCTCTGTGGTTGAACTGGCCCTGCCACTGTCACCCTGCTGCGTTTGATGGTCCGGAGCAGCCGTGCATGTAAAGCTGTGGTGGTGACAACATCCCCCGAGTGTCCCCGTGGCCTGCCCAGCTTGGCTGGGCTTGGGGAAAGAGCCGGCAGTGGTTGGGTGTGAGAGGCAGAGCGTGACTCAGTTTCCCCATCCCCGAGCCGGGGTGTTGCTGCACTGTGTTGGCAGTGCGGGAGGAGGGGTGGCGCAGGGCACAGCGCTGTCCCCGGACTTTGTGTCAGGGCAGAATACCCGTCGTTCTCATCTGCGGATCTCTGGGCCCCAGGAGGTGTTAGGGGATGGTCCTGTAGCCCTTGTAGCCCCCAGCACAAGTGCAGGGCTTCTCTGCAGGGCCGCAGGGAGCTTCGCTGCGGCACTGCGAGGGCTGGGGAGCTGGGGCTGGCTGCCACCGGCAGGAGCTAGCCCCAGCTCAGCCCAGAGCATCGGGGAGATGTGGCCCAGGGGACCTGCTGGTTCAGCCCGCAGCATCTTCTGGAGCTGGGGCATCTCAGGCCGATACCCCTGGAAACACCAGTGCTCCCAGCAGGGACGCCCGCAGGTGTACCCCTTGCAGCCGGAGGGAGGGCAGCGCCTGGCTTTTCGGCAGAGGTCCTCCGCCGTCTGCTGCCACGAGCGATCCACGCGCGGGCAGCGTTGCCTTGCGCTGTGACAGCGTCCTTTCTCCTGCTCCTTGTCCCCTCCCGTGCCGCACATGTGCAAGAAATGGATCCTCGTGCAAGAAAGAACGCGGGGAAGTGTGAGAGGGGGCGTGTTGCACGCGAGAACCATCCCTGGGCACTGGGCAAATGATGTGGCAGGTTTTGGTGCTAAAATGGATGCGGAGACCCTGCTGCGGTTGCTGCAGCAGCTCTGTGGCCATGGAAACAGCTGCGGGAGAGCGGGGGGATGCGGGGAAGGAGGGGATGGACGTGCCTGACAAAGGAGGTGCCCGGGGCGAGCAGCTCCCCCTCGCCCTCCTCCCGGCATGACTGTTGCGGTTCCTTCCCCCAGCGCCCGCCGGCCAACTCCCTCTGAGCCACCCCGGAGAGGGATCCCTGGGCTCGGGGCACAGCGCTCCGTCCTGGTGTCCCACATGGCCGCCCTGCCCACCACGCTGAGCTCTGCACAGCGTTTCTGAGCCCGAGGCGGGGACGCAGCTGCGTGTCCCAAGAGCATCCCAGGCTCCGAGTGATTCGGCATCCCCCTTTGCCTGCTGGAGAGGTGAGGGGACTGTGCCGTGCCGGAGAGACGTGCTTGGATCCCTCTGGGCAAGGCTGGAGCACGTTGGGGTCCCTGGTGTGGCGATGACAGGTAGGGGCTGAGGGGCAGCGCCGGCGGTGGGCAGGGTTTAACTCTTCTCCACTCCTGTCTTGCACCATGAATCAGGAGGAGCCACGTGCCGGAGGCGGCCTGGACCCCCGCCCCAACCACGCGGATCCGTCCCGACCCCGGGCAGGGGTGCTCGTGTCCCTCCTTACTCTTTGAGGACAGAGATTCTGCCGGGCTTTTCCAGCGGCAACAACTTTTGGGGTTCAAAGCAGCCCTACGTGTTTTGGGGGTGGGCTGGGGGAGCCTCAGGGCTTGGCGGTGGCGCTGGGGCTTGGTGCTGGCAGCTGAGGGGGGGCTGTCCCCAGGTCCTCAAAGTGGCCGTGGGGGACTCCTTTCCTTGGCCGTCCCCTTGACCGCCGTGTCCCTTCGCAGCAAGCCGACAGCCTCGCAAATCCCCGTGAGCAAAGGGCTGAGGGTTCCTGGGTGGGGGGCAGATTTGCCACGTCCGTTTCAGGCTCTTCCCTCATCATGAGGTTTTATTCTGAGGTTTTTAATTCACGATAAAAAAGGACTTTGTGACCGCTTCTGGGGCTGGGCCTGGCCAGGGACGCTCAGGAGCCCCGGCCCGCAGCCTGCGAGCGCTGCCACGTTCCCCGTGAAAGCCCTCCGGTCCCCTGGGAACACGGCTCTTCATGCGCCTGCTCCGCCACCTGGGGAATCGGCGATACAGATTAACTCCCGAAATGTTTTAATTAAAAAGATAATTTTCCTGTGAGGAGGATTCCTGAGGCACCAGCTATTGCCTAATTAGATGATCCAACCCGGGGGCTTTGCCGTGTGGGAAGAGACGCAGCAAAAAGCTCGGGGAGGGGGAGTTCTGCGGCAGCCCCGTGCCAGCACCGCTCCCCTGGCCCTCCTCAGCCAGGCTGCGCCGTCACCTCGCGCCTTGTCCTTGTCCCCAGCCACCACCCAGTGCAGCAGCTTTGCCTCGCTGGGTCGCTTGTGCCTGTGACAGAGCCTGGCACAGGGAGGGCTGGGGCTTT